CCCCCCCCCCCCCCCCCCAATATCCGATTCTAGTGAGCAAGGCCCCCATCCCCCATGTAAGAACATGAGGAGGGGCTAAGGTTCGGGATTTAGGGTTGGTCCGGGGATTTGGGGTCAATGACTTTGGTTGGAGCTTCGTTGGGCCTAGGGCAAGCTGTCAAGCACCATGAAGATGAGTACTGGAAAGGCCCCGAAATTCTGAGACTTCGAGGATACAAGGTTGGAGTTTCGGGGTGGAGCCTCTTGGGTTCAGGGCTTCGGGATTCCCGAGCTTCGGGTTCTGATTCGAGGATTGAGAGCTTCGTGGTTGAGGACTTGGGCTTTTTGCTGATCTTCCGTCCACGCAGCTTCACCGGCAGAGCACAAAAGGCATGAAGCAAAGCCTAGGCAGTGAGAGCACACCCCAACCTGGCCTCCAAACATGAACCCGCCGATAGCCGGATCAAGGAGAACTGCCCACGCAGCAGTCAGTGCGCAGTATGCCAGAAATTTGGTGCAGGGCACAGTTTGGAAGGTGTCGGAGTATGGGGCATGGCTTTGCCAGGTAGACTTCGAGCCGGAAGCATGCTGTATGACAGAACGGTGTCACCCTAGATTTAGAAGGGCAAGGGGGGGATGCAGCTGTCAGCTGGATGCCTCCTTCATAGTCATAGCGGCAAGGCTGTCAGGAGCAACCCACGCTCGGACATGTAACTTGAAATGCTGAATCCATGCTTCAGCAAATTCCCACACCCTATGCCCGAACGGGCACGCCCTTATGCTTTGCTAAGATCCGGCGAAAACTGCGAAGCCACGGAAGTCCATATTCTCTTCCATAGACCCCGCGACCCTGAACCCAGGCTGCGGCGGTCCTCCAAGAGCATGACCTCCACCTTTGCGGAGCTACAGGTACCGTGGCGCTGATTGCTCCAGGCCTCTTGGCAAAAGACTGGTACTGTAATTGGTAGCAAGAGAAGTGATGGCAGAAAGGCAGATGATGGCAGTTACCACACTGGTGGCAACAATTCAACAAGTGCAAGCACACCTTAAAATTGCTGTAGTAGCAGCAAGAGTGTCAATGGTGATTGTCATGATCGTGAAGTTGCGATATATAAAGAGTAGCACTAGCAGTCGTAGTAATTGTTTTGGTAGGAGTAGTAGTAGTGGTACCAGTGGTACCGATAGCAGTGGTAGCAGCGGTAGGAGTGATGGCAGTGGTAGCAGAGGTAATGGCATCAGTGGTAGTAGCGGCAGTAGCCGTCGTCGTCGCAGTAGTAGTGGTAGCAGTAGTAGTAGTCGTCGTCGTAGTGGTGGTGGTAAAGGTGACAGTAGTATCAACAACAGTGAGGATGCTTGCTGCCTTCGTGGTCGTGGTTATGACGAGAATAATGACAACATTCGCAACACAACTCTGATCAACGCAGTCGCAGTTACTACGTCCGGAGCAACTAGCATGAAGACAGTCTGGATATTGTCTTGTGGGCAGCTAGCATCAAGAACAACCGGCTGCTCTTGATTTAGATAGGCTCATGGGGATTACAACGATAATAGTCGTCACCATCATCGCCGTCGTCATCGTCATCATCGCCACCGACTTTGTCGTGATCGCCAAATGCGTCTTTGAGTGCTGAGCCGAAGGCCTTGACCCGGCTGTGCACTTTCAAATTCCCTGCGCAATCTTGGGTTTCGGGTTTAGGGTTTAGGGTTTAAATGAACCCTTTGCAAAGCCCCCAAAAACTCTAAACCCTTAAGCCCTGAACCCTGAAACGTCTCTTTTGGTTCGGAGGTGGCAAGTCTGTGTGGGTGGCCACGGTCGGAGACTCCCGAGCTATGCTCATGCAAGGTGAGACCAACACTGTGCGCTTTGGCTTCATAAGGACTGTTTTGAATTCAGGCGTGGTGGTAAGAATAACAACCCTGTGCTCCATATAGGGTTAAGGGTTTGAAGCAGCAGAAATGCTACAATTTCAAAGTAATAATCATGATACTGGTAAACTTTGCTTTGGCAACCGGAGGGCATGACGTAGAGATACATTTTTTCGTAGTTTCAAGAACATCAAGCATAGCCGTCAACAGCGTGAGACATGAAAACAAAGGGTAGAACAGCAAAAAGGAGCGAGCTCTACACCAGCATTTCTACTTGTAGGAGTTATGTTCGGGCTTATAGGGTTTCCGAAGTGGCGGGGCTGTTTGAATCTTCAGGGCCTGGACCTGATGTCTGGTCAAGGAGACTTTGAGGCTACCAGTCTGTTTTCCTCGCGAGGACTGTTAGTAAGACTTTGGAGAGTGGCAATCGCAGACTGAGTGCAGCCTGGCCTTAGGGTGTCCCGCCAGGTATCAGACATCTGATCACAAAGTGTCGCGAGACGATGAAGCTGCACGCATCAAGAAGGCCGGTGGCAAAGTCGTCATTTCCGAATATGCAGACGCTTGGCTGTCGTCCAGAAGGTATACAATCCTGAGAAGGTGGTTGGCAGGATGAGGTTGGGTACTGCTCCATCCACTACACTAAGCTTCACATGCTAGGCGGCTAGACTGGTAGACTACGCGGATCTACGCGGGGAGCATTGGTGCAGCGGTTTTGGCAACGAGCAGCAGAAGGGGGAAGAAGAGGATGTCTTGTGTTCAGGTTGTTGGGCTGCGTGTCAGCTTTTGGGAATCATGATGTCCAGTTGTGGCGACAGGCCCACGGTCCTGATTACTTCCTTCACGCATGGGGTGCTCGTCCCAGACCTGGCGTATATGCATATGCAAAGGTATACGTATACGTATACCTAGACGTATATACTGGGTTACGTGTATAGGTGTGTCTGTGTCCGTCTACCTGCCTCTGCCTGCCCAGATGAATTTGAGTGTGTATGCGTATATCGGAATACGTATGCGTACGAGTTCATGCATGCGTACATGTATATGTTATGTACAGTTTTCATGCGCATACAGATACATGCGTCAAGGTCTGCGTGTATAGTATGTACAGTATGTATGCATCCATACATGCATGTATGCTTACATGTATGTACATGAACATGTTGCTGTACATGTACATGCACACGCGCGCACACACGCACGCAAACACAGACACAGACACAGACACAGACACAGACACAGACACAGACACAGACACAGACACACACACACACACACACACACAAACACACACACACACACACAGCATGTACATGTACAGCAAAATGTTCATGTACAGACATGTAGGCATACATGCATGTATGCATGCTTACATACTATACATACTATACATGCGACCAGCTTGAGTGTGTCCATAGTGCAGAGGTGTGCTTGTCAGTCATGCGATGTCGAGAAAGGTATACCATCGACCGGTCCTTCAAGAGCAATCTGGATCCCGGAAAGTACATCCTTTTGAAAGACTTTCATTTCACTGCTCTAAGGGTATTCGAATGTGGATGCTGCCTGCACGGTCTGAACAACAAGCCTCAAGATGCTGTTGAGACGACGGTGTCTCCGGTGGATGTTACATCATACGAAGCAGTCTTCCACGTGTCACGCCTTGTCACCGTATCCAATGATGTTTCCCTTTGCATCGACTTTCTCAAAAGTTGCGTCGCCTGATTGCCTTGTGGTGACTGTGCTGAGATAAACTCAGAATTTCATTCTGACAGCAAGCAGACTTCCCGAAGAAGTCTCCAAGCTGGAAGCATGGACGTCAACAACGGTAGAGAAGAAGGCCGTACCGTGTGAAGTAGTGCTCCGGTGACTCAGTGTAGATCATGTTGGTTCTTGGGAGCACTCTTTATGAATAGCTCCATAAGCCTCGTGGAGGATGCGCTGCTTTCCTACCGTCATCTTCCCACCTCGAAGGTGTCCTTGGCTGGCGTCCGGCTACCCTCTCCTGAGTACGGTATCATTTTCGCGTGCATTGCTGTTGCCGCGGTGTGGTCACCTTTCGCAGGCATTGGTACTGGGCTGGCACTTAGCATCTTCGAGTTCTTGTGGCAAAGCTCGCAGGGGACTCCAGTGAGTGGCGTGAGCTCCGGACACCTGAGCATGGGTCGTACGAAGCGCCCTGTTTGGGAGCTTCGTGTCCTACGAAAGGAAGGAGACCGAATTGTGTTGCTCTTCCTGCAGGGTCGGCTTTTCTTCGGCTCCGCTGAGCAAGTTTCGCAAGTCTTGAACACCGCCACCGACGATGCTGTTAAAGATGTGATACATGTGTGACCAGCGGGCTGTCAAGGTTCGCCGGGAATGATCGTTGGCTCCGCACTCGAAGGACATCCGACTTCTCACCTTCGACCTCCCGAGCAACAGTGAAATTTCAAGTATATCCGGACTACGTCCATGCACCCAAGGGGCCTCTGCCAATGGGTGTGCCTGTGATACAGGAATGCGGTCTCAATCTGGCGGTCGCCCGTATTTTTTTCAATGATCTCTCAGTCAGGCGGCAGTGCGATGCCCAGTTGCCAGATGCGGCCAAGAAAGCCTGTGGCACGGACTGGAAGGATGCGACGTCGAAGAATGTGATTTGTCTTCGGGAACGATGGACCGCCATGGCGGGGGACCGCCAGGGCGGGGGTGTTTTCGGTAGCAGACAAGATGTCGATTCCATGACCCTTGGATTCAGCACAACCTTGGAAACGTTCGGTGCTTTGTGTTCCTTAAACAAATCGGCTCTGACCATGCTTACGACGGCATCCGCTGTGGAAAGACATGTGGGCGCAGTTTCCTGAGTGTTCCTGCACACACTTATGCTCGAGTCGTGTACTTCGGGCGCAGTGGGCAGCCAAACAGCCCCGAGAGCCTGCGGGTGCAGCTGGTGCATGTCTGGAGCTCCCAGCAGGCCGCAAAGGTAAGCAGCAGCTTCATTATGCATGCACCGGAGCTACTATGTCCTGGAAGTGAGACCACAATCTCTTTTCGTTTCGCAGATGCCGCAGTGACGGGCCAAAGGCTCGCAAGGCCAAGCCTGCTTCGAGGATGTCGTGCTTTTGGTGTCACCAAGGTTTCACGAACTGGCTACTTTCTGCCGCGAGAGTTTTTGCATCCAGGCAATGGGGTCCCGCACCTCTGTGCCGAATGAGCTGACGTCCTGCGCTGTAAGTAGGCGTGGTGTCAGGATGTTGCCGGTAACGCTGGACACGGCCGCGTAGCAGACTTCCGCAGGTCCGTATGTCTGATACCACACCACTGAGCTCGTCTGCAAAAGGCTACTGCCGCCCTCAGAGGATCTTGGTGTGCGGACCTCCTCAGCTGCGGCTCCGCCGCATGCGTTCGTCCAGAAAAGGTATGCCAGAATGTTTCGTGGACAGCTGTGGTCCGCACGGTCCTCCGACACGGTTGCTTCCAGCTGTGCATATGCCTTCAAGACCTGTCTCCAATCTGCTGATCTTCCTGCAGCTGGACAATCACAACGGCGCGTGTGCGACAGGACTGCGAGGGCGCGTCTTGCTCATCCGACAAATTTGGGATCTGTCCAGAAGGCTGTTGCACCTCCTCGCACAGCTCCTGCGTCCAAGATATCACGACATGCGCGCGTGCTATTGCTCCACGCACGATCTCGAAACGCAATCCCCAAGCGCAGGACGAAGACTAACTATGGGCGGCGCTGTTTCCGAACAACAAGTCGTCGATATGTCGGGCGCTGCGTGAGACGCGGAAGCCCACGAAGACATGCGCGACAGCCCGACGGCCGCGAAGGCAAACCCCAAACTCGGACACATTGGTTGTTGGACTGAGGTAAACGAGGCGATCGCCGTGAATGTAGAAATTCGACGTGTGCAAGCCTGCGATGTCCAGCAAATGCATAGCCGCGACCGGCATGCACAAACCTTCTCTGGTCGCTGACATTCTAGACCCCAAGGCGAAGGAGGGTTGCGGCGACGAAATGCTTCCCGCGAGTGTATGCAGCAATGGATCCACATAACATCTGGAAGTTGGTGAGGCGACGGATGCCAGTGTGGCATGACAGTTGCAGCTGCAACAAGACCGTTCCAGTAGAAGCGCAATCCACTGGCACACCAAATCAAGCATGCTTCGTTTGCTGCTGAAAGTGGCTGGAAGCAGCCACATAGTTCATGTTCGACTTTTGCGAATAGGCGAGGCAGACTAGAGGGCGGACGTAGCAGCTCGCGCGCCGATCACTTCAGGCTACCAGAGGCACATGACGACTTGAACATGTCTCATCCTGTGGCGGATGAGAGGGGTCCGGTGATCTCAGACTTCCGGATGGATTGGAATTTGCAGTGGTGAAGTACGATGGTGTTGGTAGTGGAGATGATAACGAAAGTGCTAGGACGCGTCGCGTCTTCGCACTCATGAAATGAAAGTTTTGTGCCAAGCATGCCAGATATCAAGAATGGCATGAAAAACAACATGAGATGATCCGTGAGGGTATGGGTCCTGCCCTCGCTGTATACGAAATGAGATGAATGTGAACATGAAGATGAGGGTCCGGCCAGCTGCCCACGACGGGGCCTAGGCGCAGACCAAAGCAGGTACGTTTTCCTGGGGTGTAGGGGAAAGTTGGACGGAGCACCCCGACACCCCCTCCGTCCCCCTGCAGAAAGATGGGTGGTGAGCCCGTTATCTGATGCACGAGAGAGGTGCACACACACATACACACACACACATACATACATACATACATACATACATACATACATACATACACACATACACATACACACATACACATACACATACACACATACACATACATACACACATACACATACATACACACATACACACATACACATACATACACACATGCATACACACATACATACATGCATGAATGCCTGCATACGTGCATACATACGTACATACATCATACATACATACATACATACATACATACATACATACATACGTACATACTTACTTACTTACTTACATACATACATACATACATATACATACACATATACATATCCATATCCATATACATATACATATTCATCTACATGTAGATGTGCATGTACGTATACATGTACATATACACATACATATACATATACATATACAAATACATATACATCCTTTACATTACATTACATTACATTACATTACATTACATTACATTACATTACATTACATTACATTACATTACATTACATTACATTCCATTGCATTGCATTGCATTACATTACATTCCATTGCATTGCGTTGCATT